AAAAAGACTGCAAACTTTTACTATTGAATACACTGAATAAATTAAGACTTTCTAAAGTCTATATTCTTAAAATTTTTGACAACTCTATAATACCTGTATAAGTATTTTTATACCATAGCTTACTGTTAAGTTAATTATAATAAACAATTAATTTAGTCCTAAATTATATATAAATGTGTGAACAAATGGGTGCAATTGGTATGCTATGTGTGCAGATCTATTCAACACCCCCATGGGAATGGGAAAACTGGATAACCTCGAGAAGTTTGACGCAGACTTCTTCGGCTGCAATGATGTGGAGCCCAACAATATGGACGCACAGATGAGACTACTTCTGGAGCGGGTGTGGGAAGCCATTTGGGACTCCGGTCTGTCGCACTAACTCACTCATTATCTTATACCCTAAGCTAACCCTAACCCCTACCTCCCCCGTCAGGCAACGACCCAGCATACCTGAGCGGCACAAACACCGGCGTATTCATCGGCAACTGTTTCGATGAGATCCTAAACGCCCACTCCTCTGTCGGCACAATCCCTCTCTACAAGCAATACATCGCGACTCAGATCTCTCATCGATTCAATCTGAGGGGTCCGTCGATGGCTGTGGACACCGCCTGCGCCTCCAGCTTCTCCGGACTCAACGAAGCGCTCACTTATATGAGGCACGGCATCATCGACAATGCCATTGTCTGCGGCATCAACTTAGGCCTCAACCCTCTCATGCAGTTCCAGTTCTATAAGCTTAATATGTTGTCACCGGACGGCCGGTGCAAGTGTTTGGACGAGTCGGCCAACGGCTACGCCAAGGGTGAGGCTGTGGTGGCCATCATTTTGCAGCGAAAACCTGCGGCCAAAAGGATTTACGCGACACTAATCCACACGAAGACCAATAATGACGGCTATGAGGAGATGGGCATCACTTTCCCCACGTGGGAGTCGCAGAGGGACCTCATGATCGCCACCTATAACGAGGCCGGCATTAATCCGCACGACGTCGAGTACGTTGAGGCCCATTGCACCGGCACTCAGGCCGGGGATCCCGAGGAGATGAAAGCCATTTGCGAGTCCATGTGTTCGGGTATGCAATCAATTGATTATAACTTATAATTAAATATAGAAACAGTTTTTCAATAGAAATGTGTTTTGTTTGACTGAATGATTAGGCGGTCGTAAGAAACCGATTTTGATCGGCGCCCACAAGTCAAACATCGGACACACGGAGGCCTCGTCCGGGTTGTGTGCCGTCTCCAAAGTGATCATATCCTTTGAAAACGAGTTAATTCCCGGAAATATTCACTACAACCGACCCAACCCTAAGGTAGAGGGCATACAGAAGGGTCTGTTACAGCCGGTGTACAAGAACTGGCCGTTCACTGGCGTATACGCCGGACTCAATAACTTTGGTTTCGGTGGATCTAATATTCACGTCATTATCAAGTGTCCAAAGATTAAGCCGTCGATTGACAACAACAAAGTTGTGGACAAAATCCCGCGTTTAGTGAATATGTGCGGAAGGGATGAAACTGGAGTCAACTATTTCTTTGAGAAACTCTTGGAGACACCAAACAAAATCACTCGCGAGTTGTTAGCAATGGTTAACGACATCTCAAAGACGGCACCGTTTAAGACAAACGCCGGCTATATGGGTATGGGTTCCCGGGGGTATATACTGATCGATAGTATGGATAAACTAAAAGAAATTAAAACCTTTAACGCGAAAGAAATTAAGGAAAAGGATAGAGAGGTTTGGTTTATATTGTCGGGAATGGGAACCCAATGGCAAGCGATGGCCAAAAACTTGATTCGTATCGACGTCTTCGAGAAGTCAATCCGAAACTTATGCGAAATAATGAAGAAGTATTCAATTGATTTGTGGGATTTGCTCACTAATGATAAGCAAGACATTATGGGTTCGGTACTCAACTCTTTCATAACTATAGCCGCCATTCAAATCGCTTTAATTGATTTGCTGGAAGAACTCGGTGTGAAACCCGATGGCATTGTCGGCCACTCTATTGGTGAACTCACCTGTGCTTACGCTGACAAATGCCTGACAGCTGAGGAGACCATTATTATGGCCTATTGGAGGGGAAAGTGTATTGAGAGTAACAAGTCATGTGTCGGACGTATGGCTGCTGTGGGTATGGGTGCAAAAGAGGCCAAAACTATAGTCCCGTCCAATGTCTTCATCGCTTGCGATAATTCCGACGATTCTGTCACTGTTTCTGGAGATAATAGAGCCGTTGAAGACTTCGTTAAATACCTGAAAGACAAGAGTATATTCGCCGCTAATGTCGAGAGCTGTGGCATACCTTTCCACTCACCGCTTATGTATCCAATCGGCGAGCAGTTGACCGGACGGCTGAAGAATGTAATGCCGGAGACCAGGAAGATGTCGACCAAATGGGTCAGCGCTAACTTCAATAACACATCCAAAAGCCTTTCGTCCAACTATTTCGTCGATAACCTCTTATATCCGATCCGTTTCAACGAAGCCATCAAACAGATCCCCGACAACGCCATTGTCGTCGAAATAGCGCCCCATTCTCTCCTTCAGTCAATAGTTAAGCGCAGTTTAGGTCCAAACATATCGTACGTACCGCTGATGAAGAGAAACGAAAACAACTTAAACCTATTGCTGTCGAGTGTCGGCACTCTATATACACTCGGTTTGAATCCTCAGATCGAGAAACTCTACCCTAAAGTCCAGTATCCCGTCTCTAACGGCACTAAATTCATATCACCGCTCATTAAGTGGATCCACGACAAGAACTATGTGGTCACCACTTATCCCGAGTTCTTCAGTGGCTGTCAGGCCAGTGCCACCCGATCCACGAAATGCAATCTTTTGGTGAGCTATGAATCCTAAAATCNATTCATATCACCGCTCATTAAGTGGATCCACGACAAGAACTATGTGGTCACCACTTATCCCGAGTTCTTCAGTGGCTGTCAGGCCAGTGCCACCCGATCCACGAAATGCAATCTTTTGGTGAGCTATGAATCCTAAAATCACTTCTCATATGCAATAGTTTTATAACACATTTCATGTATTTTCAGGACAAAGAGGACCAGTACGTGACCGGCCACGTGATCGACGGCCGAAACCTATACCCGGGAACGGGATATCTGTTGCAGGTGTGGAAGCACTTGGCCGGCAGTAATAACGCTGAGTTCGATGAGGTGGCCGTCGAGTTCCGGGACGTGATCTTCCATCGGGCGACGATTGTTCAGCACAACAAAGAGATTGAGTTCAAGACTACCATTGATTTGTCAAATGGAGACTTTGTTTTGTCCGAAAGCAATGCAGTGGTGGTCACCGGAAACATCCAGGTCTTGAATAAGGGTCTCGAATATCAGTACTATTTGGAGGAGAACTCATACAAAATCAGTAAATCTGAGAATTTGGTGCTTCAAAAGCAAGACATCTATACCGGACTCCGGCTCCGGGGCTACGATTACGGACAGACCTTTCAATGCGTGTCCGAAGCCTATGTCGAGGACAGGAAGGTTAAGGCTCTCGTCGATTGGACCGACAATTGGGTGGCGTTTACGGATAATATGATACAAATTATGATCGTTGGCGTCGACACTAAAGGCCTGTTTATTCCGGTGCGACTCGATATGATCCGATTTGATCCCAAACTACTCTTATCAGAGGTCGAGTCAGTGGGTGATAATCCAAGAATTGAGGCCATTTTCGATTACGATACCAGAATAGGTGTGGCAAAGGGTCTGGAGTACAGGGGACTGAAAACAAATCTAATTTCACGGAACTTGAATCTGAATAAAGTGGTGCAGGGTCACTATAGCTTTGAGGCTTACGACGGGCCGGTAACCTTTGAGGGCCAGGCGTTGACTGAATACAGAGCCGTTTGCGACAAATTGGCCGAAAGTGTGCACAAAAAGTTTGAAATGTTGAGAGGTGTCGGCAAAAATGCTAACATTATTAGCACTAAGACAGAGAAAGTGGACAAAGCGTTGAAAGGGAAAGACAGATATTTGTATCCATTTTTACTGGACTTACAGAATGCTAACAAATATGATCTGGATGCGATTAAAGAAAACAAATACTTTGAAGACTTGGACGACGATTTGATGTTGAGTTCGTTGTATAACAAATGGCTAATCGACGTACAGATTATGACCGTTTATGACAATAAAAAGCCTGGTGAATTGAGTGTCTTAGAGTTGAATGATAGTTACGAGCCAATTCAGCCCAGTGTTGTCCATAGTTTAGATCCTCACGAGTACTACGTTAAGCTCGTGTACAATACGGCCTCCCGTTCCCCGACCGATACTAAAGTCACTGAATGGCCAGCCAGTGACTCGACAGTGCCGTTGAGTTTCAAAGACTTGGATCTAATTGTCTACAAGAATGACAACAACTCATCTATTAATTTGAGTGATTTATGTCAGTCAGCCTGGGATTCACTCAAAGATTACGCCTTCTTCGAGATTGTCTTCAGAGATAAGTTCACGTCGAGTGAGAAATTGATCCGTTATTTACTGGACAGGAAGTCACAGACAATGGATGGAAAGCAGATTAAATCTGAGGCCGAAAAGTGTGGCTTTACTTACATCTCGTGGAATCGGAACCAATTCGGAGCCAATGCTATGCTCTTCAGAAAAATGACCACAAATATAGAGCTCGACAAACAAGTAATCATTGAAGTGGACAACAATTACAACAATTGGTTGTCTAAAGTACAGGAAGAGATGAAATCAGTGCACAATAAGCCCGACGGAGAGAACATTTGGCTCATCGCTAACAACACCTCGAAGAATGGTATCTTAGGTCTGATCTATAGCTTGAGGCGAGAGGTGAATGGTATGCGAATCAAAAGTATTTTCAATTACGACGGCATTAATGATAAGTTTCTGGACAACCGGAACCTATTGAGCGAGATCATCAAAAAGGATTTGGTGTACAACGTGTTCAAAGACAATCGTTGGGGCTTTTATAAGGCTAACTTCAGATCACTGCAGAAGACAGTGATGGCTGAACACTGTTTCCTCAACAACAGCAATAAGGGAGACCTTTCGAGCCTCAAGTGGTTTGAGTGTCAGCACAAGCTATGGCCCATCGGTCGCAAAGACGAGCAAATGTTATGCAAAATATACTATTCGGCCCTTAATTTCAGAGATATTATGTTAGCCTCCGGTCAGTCAATCATTACTATAAAAATCATTTAAACTATTCTGACATTTGTTTGCAAACATTGATGTTTAGGCCGACTACCAGCCGATGCCCTCCCGGGAGATATGGCACTTCACGACTGCATTCTGGGACTCGAGTTCTCGGGTCGGGACGAGAATGGGAATCGTGTGATGGGAATGATTCCGTCCAAAGCGTTGGCCACCACTTGTATTGTGGACGACCCGGACTTCTTGTGGCCCATACCTGACAACTGGACTATGGAGGAGGCCTCGACTGTTCCCTGTGTTTACTCAACCGCTTATTATTCACTCATAATTAGAGGTAATCTGAAGAAAGGAGAGAAAGTACTGATCCATTCGGGTAGTGGTGGTGTGGGACAGGCGGCCATTAATATATGTCTGAGTATGGACTGCGAGGTCTTTATTACTGTCGGATCGGACGCCAAACGAGAGTATCTCAAGAAGAAGTTCCCGAAACTAACTGACCGTCAATTCTCTTCGTCCCGAGACTTGAGTTTCAAGACTCACGTAATGAACGCAACGCAGGGAAAGGGAGTAGATTTGGTGCTCAACTCCCTGTCCGACGACAAACTAAAGGCTAGCGTTGAATGTCTAGCTCACAACGGAAGGTTCCTCGAGATTGGAAAGTATGATATGTCTGTCAACAGCAGATTAGGTATAAAATAAACTTATTATTACAATAATTATAACTAAATGTATAATTGATTTAATTATGATTTGTGTAGATATGAGTGAAATGATTAAAAACAAGTCATTTCATGGCATCCTTTTGGACGCGTTGTTCACAACCGATGAAAACACACCGAAATCTGTGCTGAAGGACAGGAAACGCATTTGGGAACTGATCGACGCCGGCATCAAATCGGGAACCGTTAAGCCATTGGACAGCAGTATATTCAGTGTCGACGAGAGCGAAGAGGCCTTTCGTTTTATGTCTTCGGGGAAACACATGGGAAAAGTGGTCATTAAGATCAGGGATGAGGAACCGGAGGGTCAGAGGATGTCAACGAAACCACTGCTTATCGAAGCGATTCCGAGGACTGTATTCAATGCCAACAAAGTCTATATAGTTAGCGGCGGTTTAGGAGGTTTCGGGTTAGAGCTCATCGACTGGATGTGCGAAAGAGGTGCCCAAAAGTTTTTGGTCACCTCAAGAAGTGGTCTAAAGGACTCGTACCAGAAATCAAAGATCAAACGCTTGCAAACGAGAATGGGCGCCGACATCCACATCGTTACGGATCTGGACCTGACATCACCCAAAGAAGCGACACAACTGTTTAACATTGCCTCACAATTGGGTCCAATCGGCGGTCTCTTTCATCTGTCGCTTGTGTTGGCCGACACTATCTTTGAGAATCAGTCGGAAGAAACGTTTAAAATTGTTTGCCACTCGAAGTCGGATCAGTTCACCATTTTGGACATCATTTCCCGGAAGTACTGCCCGGACATCGACTACTTCGTCGCCTTCTCGTCCGGCGTGACCTCACGTGGAAATGTAGGCCAAACCAACTACGGCTTCAGCAACTCAATTATGGACAGAGTGTGTGACGTGCGTAAGGCTGACGGCTATAACGCCCTCTCCATCCAGTGGGGAGTCATTGGGGATGTAGGGGTTGTCGTGAAAAGCACCGGACGGGACGACATCGTCATCATCGGAACGGTAGCCCAGCGTATGCCGTCGTGTCTGCAAACAATGGACACGCTGTTGCAGTCGGACCATCCCGTGTGTATGTCTTTCGTGAAGTGTGAGCCCAAACTGGAGTCGAGTGGAGGCAAAGAGAACTTCATGAAGAAGTTGGCGCACATTCTCGGTATGGATGACATCAAGAAAGTCGACCCCAACACCAAACTCCTGAAGCTGGGTATGGACTCACTTATGGCGGTCGAGGTGCAGCTGTCCATCGAAAGGGAGTTCGGAACTGTTCTCACGGCACAGGAGATCCGCGAGCTCTCCATCGCTAGAGTTCTCGAGATCGGAACCAATTCGGAGGCCAAATGAGACCAACGTTTTGAATGAATTATTTGTTTTCATTTTATATCTCTAACTGTAATTGTTTTGTTTGCTTTTATTAATCAATTTAAAGGTTTATTGGATTTAGTAATAGTTTGTAAACATTTATTGAATATGAATAAAGTTTTATTTTAATTAAGTTGTTGAAGTTTTTTATTTTATCACTCATATTCAAATAAATATGAAATTTCCTATGAATATTTTATATTTAGTACTGTATAACACAGTATTAGTATTAGTTAGTATTTTGTTTATGATTTGTACATTATATAATATTTCAAGTGAGTTTTAAACATTATATTACAAGTTATTTAAAAGTTTAATTTCTATTTTTCATTAATATGGAAATAATCAAGATGATATAATAAATTTTTCTAGTTATATTCACAATTTTTTAGCGAAACAGTAATTAAAATGAATTAAAATTTTAGTTTTACCTTAAAATCTAGAATTTCAAATACAGAACCTATAATACATAATAATTTTTATTTATTAAAAAGGAAAATATCAAGGAAATAATTAAATATGGAATATTACTAAATCTGTAATTCATAAATAATTGTACTAGCATAATGATGTTGGAGTAAATTTATGATGCAATTTAATAAAAATTAATAAAAAGCATAAAGTTCTTGAAATTGTTTAAAGAAATTGAAATTTGTAATAATTAGGTAATAAAATATAAACGGATTTTTGTTAGCAGTCTGAAGCAATTCAAATTCTAACAAAATACCCAAAATTATAAAGTATACTTACGGCAATCATATTTCTTAATATTTACCTAATATTGTAAAAGTGAATTTCAATATTTTCCAGTCAATAGGATTTACAAAACAAATAGTTAGAAGTGTTATCAACCAATAAAAATAATGTATCACTCACAAGCCAGTGTCTAAATTATCTTGATAATTATCTAAATTATCAGTGTCTTTGACTGTACAAATCATAACTCTTTTTAAATCATAATGAAGACTATTTAATAGTCATTTTGGACTATAAGTATACTATTATATTTAGTTTTAGTAATTATAAATTGTTAAAATGAAGTTCCTGCTCATATTAGTAGCAATATTTATTGTATTAATTAGTAAAACTAATTGTTTAAATATCGATGAAGACTATTCATCGGATGAGACAAATACTAATCTAACGGACAGCGAGTCCGATGATAACCACGAAGACGATCGATGTTCTGAGGACGAGATAATTGAGAAATTCATAGAAATACTGACTCCCGAAGACTACTCAGAAGGCAAAGACAAGATTAAGTACACAAAGAATTCATTCACTGAACAAATGGCAGCAATGAGTCGTTTGGGAGTTTACGGCCAAAACGTCAGTCGAAAGACCGAAGGGTTTAATAAAAGGATTTCCAACCGTATGTCCGAAGCGTTTATGTCCATTAATTTGGAGCCGAGTTGTATGCGATCTTTGATGAGGATTCAGAGCGCTGGCAAGAATGGGGAGCTTTGGGCCCTTAAGTGTAAGTTTTTGTTACAAATTTTGCTATTATTTTATTTATTATGTTATAATTCTTTGGCATTTAGCAGTTTAAGTTACCTGTATACTTTGTTATTTAGGATATATACTAGATTAAATATAGCAATTTATCTGAAATGTTTAAAACCTTGAATTGGTGATTTGTAATAATTTATATGAAACACAGTTTTCGACGCCCAGCCCTCATTCCAGATGACAGTATTCGAGTTGGGTGGCCCCTCTCTGGGCAACTACGACCAGTGCCTAAGCATTGAAAGTCCATCAGAAGAAGATCAGCCGGTAATAAAAGGTCAATATTGCGGAATCGATACCAATTGGATATTAGATATAAAAAGGGGTGACATTCAAGACTATAACACAATGGGAAATATAGCCAATTCATCGGAAGCGGGCAAAAACCTAATGTATGGAATGTTTGGCTCTTATGTGCCAATTGTTATATCCCGGGGTAACAAACATAACTCGGACATTACCCTTGAATTTCTGCCATATGCCCTCAAAAAAGATACCAAGATAATAAACGGCTACTGTTTGCCTACCACTTGTAAACCTGAAGACCTGTCCGATGCACTCAATGAAAGTAAGTCTTATAGAAAATATTAGTACCAGTGTATCAACTTTAGACAGCTTGTAATTTGACAGTATAATAATGATTACAAATTATATATTTAAAGTACTATACCCAATTACCCGAATTCCGATTAAATTTCTAAACGATTGTGATCACAAAGACAAACCAGTTAAATTGGATAAACAGCAAATAATTGCCATGTATGAATTATATAATACTAAATTTGTTTTACTAAGTTATATTCTATTTTATAAATATAATGCCTAATATTTATCAGTGCAATATTATCATCATTGCTTGCTCTGGTCATTGTGGGCACTATTTGTCATTATTTCTCAAAGACATCGTTTATTAACCGATTACTCGGAGAATCTTCAGCGGCTTATGTATTGAGATGTTTCTCAGCCAAACGAAGTTGTCAACAAATTTTCAGTTTCAGACAATTTGAAAAATATAAGGCTATGGATGGCATGAAGTGTTTCCTATCATTTTGGGTCGTATTGGTGCACACCATGGAGTTCGCGGCAGCGGTACTACACACGAGAAATTTCTACTTATCATCGGTTTATAAATTAGCTTTTAATTGGAGAAATTTCTTTTTCCCCAATCCTTTACTTATGGATAACTTTATGTTTATATCAGGTCTATATTTGTTAATAGTAATTAAATGGTTAATTAATTTTATTTATTACATTATTGTTAGCTATTCTGTTGTGCAACACTATATTGTCAAAGTTGGAGCAAAGCAAAGGAAGATTCAACTATATACAATTTATTATATTTAGGTAATTATTTTGCTAAATTATATTCGCAAAATAAATGAGAAATGTACTAAATGATATAACCGGTCAAATATTTCTAATAGGTATCTACGAGTACTTCCGGTGCTGATCGGAGGCATTTGTTTATCATTTCTATTTGAACATTTAGGAGACGGTATGATTTCATTATACTTATACCGTATATTGTAAAATTCAGTTGCCGTAATTAAGTTTGCTAATTTCATGATACCACTTTACATCATTTTAAAACTAGGTCCGTTTTGGCCAAATGTAAAATTTTTCATAACAGAACCCTGTTATGAATTATGGTATAAGCCGTTGCTTATGATCAATAATTTTAATCATTACATGCATCCAAATAGTAATATTAGTTCACCTATACAGGTATACATAAATTTAAAATTTTAACAAACTATACATTCTGAATTATTTATAAATTTTATTTATTCTCAATTCTAGTGTCTGATTCATACATGGTATGCATCCAAACAATATCCAGCATATTATTAAATCTATATTTGACTGATAATGTTAAACTCAATATCCAAAAGGTATGCTTCGGCCGATTTCCAGTTGTACGCGTTATCACCGATAGCACTACTGGTGCTCTACAAGTCTCCCAAATGGGGTATCCTCTGGAATGTCTTAATCCTCATGTTTGGCATTTCCATCCCTCTTATAATCCGCTATTGGTTTCAAATTCCACATATTTATGAAGGCTTTTCAAGCAATGACACCCAAATGAATCTGTCTGCCTGGACCTATCAGTACTGGTCATGTCTGCCATACATCCAGACTTATATCATAGGCTTTTTGACGGCGTATGCCATTAGAAAGTATCCGAAGGCATACTTAGGCGGACGGGTCGGAGAATCCATTATATCGATCATTGCATTTACGATGACTTTTGGGATCGTTTTCTGGAATAAAAACTTTTTACACTTTAGCTATAGATATACTCGGCTTTACGGATATGAGCTACACGTCTACCTAATTGTTCACAAAGTGTTTTATTTGTCTGGTTTTGTGTGGCTTTTCTATGCCTGCGCTACGGGTAGAGCCGGTTAGTGACCATCACTTGTGATAAATATATAAACGGATATGAGCTACACGTCTACCTAATTGTTCACAAAGTGTTTTATTTGTCTGGTTTTGTGTGGCTTTTCTATGCCTGCGCTACGGGTAGAGCCGGTTAGTGACCATCACTTGTGATAAATATATAAATCTAATTGTATATCATTTGAATACAGCGTTCATAAACAAAGTGATGGGTTGGAAAGGGTTCAAAATGATTGAGAATTTGGTACTTGAGATATATATCGTATGTACTAAATATTAAATACATGATTACTCATTGATACAGTATTTAACAATTGTTATTACCTTGCTGCATTTGTTATTACAGCTGCACATTTTCTTAATTACGTACAGAATCGGTACATTGAGGGAACAGGTCACTTATAATGATTATTATATCGTAAGTCAATCCTATAATTATATTAGTACCATCCTAATCATGTTAATTAATTAATTAATTAAAATGTTATGTGAATTGGTTTAGTGGACAAACACTGTGACCGACTTTTTCCTAACATATTTGGCATCAATAGTGATGGGAATCCTTATAACAAAACCTTTCGCCGCAATGACTAATGATTTACTGAAAGGATCCAAAAGACCCCAAAAGAGTCCGACAGTTGTCGACAATAATGGAGACAAATACGACTCAAACGCTCTGAAGATTGATATCTCAACTGATAATAAGTCTATTGATGTCAACAATAATAGCAATGATTTTGTAAAAGACAACAACAGTTATACAAACTCGGCGTTTGTTAATGAAATGCATTTAAATGAATTAAATAAAGATAAACATTAAAATATGTAATTTATAAATTCATTGAAACAAATATCAAAATAAAATATTGCACCAAAGGTTCAAAATATAATATTTTTACATATTTTTAATAAATAAATAGACTATTTATAAGTGATTGAAACATTTACTGATAAATGAATATTCACAGATATTACAATATTTTTATAAATTAAGTAAATTATAAAACTTAAATAATTTCACTGCCTCTAAAGTATTTTTATTGCCTCTAATGTCAATTTATTTTTAAAAATTATCTTTAGCATCATTATTATATTATTACTTTTCATTTTATTATACCTGATAAAAAATTAAAACATTTTATTGCCATATATATTTAGTATACTATACATGCATGCATTTAATTGAGCATATAATAACATATTAATTATATTTATTAAAAATTATTAGTATATTATAGTATATTATAGTATATTATAGTATATTATAGTATATTATAGTATATTATAGTATATTATAGTATATTTATTATAGTATATTATATTTATGTGTGACGGGCAAGCTTTTCCAAATTTAGTCATCCTATATCACAAATAGCTCATAGTTTTATATTGACCCTTTACCTAGTGGAGTTAACTTGAAAATCTCTGCCCCTTGCCCATCATTGGTTATATATCATTTTTCTTTTTTGTTTGTTTTATCACTTTTATAACTTTGCAAACAATTTGCAAACAAATTATTATATGGTTTCTCAAAGGTTATGTGAATAAGAAAACCAGCGATCAGTGATAAAACTACATAACCTATTAAATTGACAACCTATAAAAAATATAAGAAGTATGTGAAATTAAAAATCAATTTTAATACAAGATAAATATATACCACAAACAAATTGAGAACTTTGTTAACGTGGACTCTTTCGGTGATTAATTGAAACCTAATGAACTCGATGTTGACCATGGTGGCTCCAAAACATAACTTACTCAATCGTTTACTCGATAAGTATGTAAATATTTTAAACATTCTGCCAGGACCTAATTTGAAAGTCATATACAATAATATAAATACAATTACAGTATATTTTATGTTGGTAAAGTATTGAACCTTTATTTCCTTTTGTTAGGCATAGAGTTATCCAGCAAATACCGATAGTGTAAAAGAATCTCATAAATGATGAGTAAAATATAAGTAAACCCATTGAATCGTACATATTTAAGCCATTTATCAGATATGTTGAGAAAATACACGAAATTGTTAACAATGACAGTCCTATTGATATTATATTTTGTACAAACTATANATTGAATCGTACATATTTAAGCCATTTATCAGATATGTTGAGAAAATACACGAAATTGTTAACAATGACAGTCCTATTGATATTATATTTTGTACAAACTATAAAAATAAACATTTCACTTTAAATAAAAATAATCAATTTATAACAGCAATTAAATACATACATCACTTAAATTAATTTTATTAATTTTGGTAATTATGTACCCGGTCATTATTCCCATAAAGTATTCAGTCAAATGAGAATAAGTGGAGCTGTGGTTAATATGGGCTTTATATTCCTCTATAGCTCTGTCAATATATAAATAACATTTAAAAAGAATATTCTTATAATAGAAATGGTCAATTATTTATTCTAAAATGTAAACACTAAAACTTTTGAACAAAACTCGCCAGGATACTTACATGCCTTCATTGATAGTACGAATAATAGGAGGAGCTATATTATAATAAGCGGTGAGCACACCGGGTATTATCATTCCCGTAACCATCCAACACAAGGAATAGATGAGACCATAATTTAATTTTGTTGCCAATAGTAGCATTGCAAAATATGCTAGGACATAGAGTTGCATCTCAGCCGACATAAACCAGGTCGATGATGCACACTTTGCATTAAATTATTATACATTTTAATAACATAAACATTTATGAATTAAAAATTTACATTTATTTATAGTATTTACAGTTTAATTATTTATTTTAAGCCATTTAACTAATTTATAGCTTATGAATGACTAAGTCCTTTACCCTGGGTTAATGACTATAAAATGAGATTTTTCCACAGATTTCTGTCACAGTTTGCTATTTGTTCGCTATAATAGTACTTATATGCCGGCCCTGAGCCCAGGTATGCAAAGAGTATGTTAAAGGCAATTGTAATCAGATAGACAGGAACAACACTTTAATAAACAGAAAAAGTATAATAATTTATTATTTAATCCGTTATTTTAATAAAACCAAAAGTCTTACCGAAAGAGTCGACCAAACATATAGAGCCCAAAGGGAACTCCCCGTCCGCTCTCGAAATATTTCAGACCAGAAATAGCTGAAATAATTTATTATTTAATCCGTTATTTTAATAAAACCAAAAGTCTTACCGAAAGAGTCGACCAAACATATAGAGCCCAAAGGGAACTCCCCGTCCGCTCTCGAAATATTTCAGACCAGAAATAGCTGTAAGAGTTCCGCTATTTTAATAACAAATATTAAATTATTTTTAATAACATTTAAGTGCTATTATATTAAACCTCATGTAAAATATAAGTTCAATAAAAACGGCTGAATTCATAATTATTTGTGATATAAAATCCGCGCCCATTCTTAACAGCACTCCGTGTTTGTCTGTAATTTAAATTAGTGTACATTTTTATATATAATGTTATTTCATGGTAAGAAGCTAAATTATTAGATTAAATTATTAATTTACATACAAATTGTAAGTGGAAACACTAATAATCCACCCAATGATATGTGACTAAATATAATGTATATTAAAATAAATATCTTCAAGAAGTCAAAGAATCTTAAGTCAAAAGATTTTTCTCGTTTTATTGTACTCTCACTGAAGAAATCAATTAAATTTCTTTTCGGAGAGAATGACTTTACAATTAGCCCTAAATTTCCTAAGTTTTTCAAATCATCTTCACTTTTACAGAAATAGTCAATAAATGCTGAAAATATTAACAAAACCAATGTTATCGACACAAAAGATCTATAATAAAAAGATTAAGATTTTAGTTTTAACTAATATAAAGATATTTTTGAATTTTTAAAATTAATTAAAATAAACTACAAAATTACAAAAGTATTATCTGTGAGGTTGACAATTGTGGCACATCTTCCAGTCTATGGTAGCAATCATTGCTATTTATATGTACCTTAACGTTGAATGACTTAAGCCCTAGTATAAGAAATAGTATGGATTTATAACAACGTAATTGTTTCAATATTAAAATTACCCTCATCCAAAATTGATTTCAATTCATTTGGAGTACAGACAGAAGGTATACAAAAGGCATTACTAATGACTGGCGATTTTAAATTAGAAAATGTATTCATAGTCTCTCTATAAACCGTATCATTTGATTGCCTGTGATTGGTGTCAAATGGCAGTTCAAATCTTGGGGTACAATATTGTCCAACAAAATTTATATGACTACCGCTGTCAGGGACCACATCTAGGCATTCATCAAAATCACCTAACGATCCATACGTCCCATCCATGAAACCACTCGGGAAATGACCCCAAGAGTCAAACACTTATCATTAAAATTAATAAAAATTGAACAGGTAAGATCATGTAAGATATTAAGTATTATAATTACGTTTAATTGCCCACCACTTCATGTTAAGCCCTTCATCGATGGTATAGTGTATTGATTTGAGACAATCGTCTGAAATTCTATCATCGTTTTCAAGTTTTGCCAAAATTGGCTCCAATTTATCACTAATAATATTAATTAAAACCTTTACATTTGTTTCAAATAATGTCTTATTGTTTGCATTATCATCAGAATTGCATAATAATACAAATAACAAGATAATAATTATTTTCAACATCCTTTGTACGAACGTGTTTGTAAAATAATATTTATTTATTTGTTGTATTAAACTAAGTCAAAATATGACGGCACTAAAAATAGATAATTTAACACAAGTATTACATAATTGTTTTCAAGATTTTATAAATTACTTAAAGTTTTGAAAAACAATTTCTCAATTAGTTGTAACAATACAGAATAAGACAAAAATCTACCGGAAAATTGATAAAAAGAGATTCAATTATATCTAATTTATATATTTGAGTAATTATTGTTATATTTATACAGTATTATAAACCAAATACAGTACATAGATTATATAAATGTATGATATTCAAATTATTATTTATCTTATTCCTAAAAGGTATATATGAATACTTCCAGGCATTTGTTTATAATTTCTATTTCAACATTTAGGAGCTTGAACATTTGAATTTATATAATACAGTAAATTAATATATATACCAAAAATTTAAACAATATTTAAATTAGGTCCGTTTTGGGAAAATGTAAAATTTTTCATCATTGAACCTTGTTATGAACTGACATAAACCATTGCTTAATATCAATCATTTTAAACATTACATGCATCCAAATAGGCATCCATTGATTTACCAATACAGGTAAGAATCAATTTAAATTTTTAACAATTAATAAAAATTATTTATTTTAAAGTTTAGTGTCTGATACATTCATGTTATGTACAATATCTAAACAATATTATTAACTATTATAATAAATGTATGTTATAGTAGTGGTGAAAACTTTTAAAGATCAATGAATATTCACAGATATTACAATACTTATTATATGATTACTTCTAATTTTAATATACTATTCATACATACATTAATTGGGCTTTACAAATATAAATTTTAGAAATATATATATTTGTAACGGGCAAGTTTGGCCATGTTATAAATTTACATCACCAAAAGTTTATAATTTTATTTTGAGCCTTCAGCTAGTGGTATTAACCTAAAACTACCTGCCCCTTGCCAATCACTGGTTTCATTTTGCTTTCTTATTTGTTTTGTCACTTTTATAACTTTGCATTAAATTTACAAACAAATTATTATATGGTTTCTCAAAGGTTATGTGAATAACAAAGCCAGCGATCAGTGATAAAACTACATAACCAATTACATTGACAATCTATAAAATAAGAAATATGTAAAAATAAATAATAATTTTAATACAAGATAAATATATACCACAAACAAATTGAGAACTTTGTTAACGTGGACTCTTTCAGTGATTAATTGAAACCTAATAAATTCGACGTTAACCATGGTGGCCCCAAAACATAACTTACTCAATCGTTTGCTCGATAAATATGTAAATATTTTAAACATTCTGCCAGGACCTAATTTGAAAAATATTTATATACAACAATATTATATAAAACACTTAAATTTTATGTTGTTAATATTGTTGTGACCTTTATTTCCTTTTGTTAGGCATAGAGTTATCCAGCAAATACCGATAGTGTAAAAAAATCTCATAAATGATGAGTAAAATATAAGTAAACCCTAACTTAGCATGTATAAATTCGGTAAATAGTCTATACAACTCTTTTATGTGCTTTAACAATTGTTACTGTCAGGATAACTATAATATAAAACATGTTTGATATTTTTATTTGTAAAGTGAAATTTATCAAATAATCAATTTATAAGAGCAATTAAATACATACATCACTTAAATTAATTTTATCAATTTTGGTAATTATGTACCCGGTCATTATTCCCATAAAGTACTCGGTCAAATGAGAATAAGTGGAGCAATGGTTAATATGGGCTTTTAATTCCTCTATAGCTCTGTCAATATATGTATAAAACTTATAAAGAATATTCTTATAATTATAGTATAGAAAATTGTCAATTATTTTTCTAACATGTAAGGATTGAAACTTTGGTGTCAAATTTACTAGGATACTTACACGCCTTCAGTGATAGTACGTATAATAGGAGGAGCTATATTATAATAAGCGGTGAGCACACCGGGTATTATCATTCCCGTAACCATCCAACACAAACAATAGATGAGACCATAATTTAATTTGGTTGCCAATAGTAGCATTGCGAAATATGCTAGGACATAGAGTTGCATCTCAGCCGATATAAACCAGGTCGATGATGCACACTTTGAATTAAAGTATTATATATTTTAATAATTATTTGTAAATGCTTCGTTTTTAAATGTAAGGTCAAAAATTAATAAAATTCAATTAATCAATTAAATATCAAATACTTACTGATTCAGTAACTGGAAACCAATTACTTATAAAAATGAGATTTTTCCAGTCTAAAGACAGTGTCAAATAATAAACAAGCGATATTATCATGAATATGCGGCCGGGACTCGGGTCCATACGCTTGTCATACAATTTCCGTTAACATTAGTCTATCTGTCCTTGTTGTGAAATTATTACAGAAAAAGTATAATAATTTATTATTTAATCCGTTATTTTAATACAACCAAATGTTTTACCGAAAGAGTCGACCAAACATATAGAGCCCAAAGGGAACTCCCCGTCCGCTCTCGAAATATTTCAGACCAGAAATAGCTGTAAGAGTTCCGCTATTTTAATAAAAAATATTAAAATATTTTTAATAACATTTAAGTGCTATTAAATTAAACCTCATGTAAAATATAAGTTCAATAAAAACGGCTGAATTCATCATTATTTGTGATATAAAATCTGTGCCCATTCTTAACAGCATTCCGACTTTATCTGTAATTTAAATTAGCGTACATTTTCATAGTTACAAGTGTAATTATTAATTATTAATTTACATACAAATTGTAAGTGGAAACACTAATAATCCACCCAATGATATGTGACTAAATATAATGTATATTAAAATAAATATCTTCAAGAAGTCAAAGAATCTTAAGTCAAAAGACTTTTCTCGTTTTATTGTACTCTCACTGAAGAAATCAATTAAATTTCTTTTCGGAGAGAATGACTTTACAATTAGCGCTACATTTCCTAAGTTTTTCAAATCATCTTCACTTTTACAAAAATAGTCTATAATTGCCGAAAATATTAACAAAACCAATGTTATCGACACAAAAGACCTATAATAAAAAGATTAAGATTTCAGTTTTAACTAATTTTGAATGATATTTTCTTAATGATATTTTTAAACTTTTAAAATTAATTCAAATAAACTACAAAATTACAAAAGTATTATCTGTGAGGTTGACAATTGTGGCACATCTTCCAGTCTATGGTAGCAATCATTGCTATTTATATGTACCTTAACGTTGAATGACTTAAGCCCTATTATAAGAAATAGTATGGATTTATAACAACGTAATTGTTTCAATATTAAAATTACCCTCATCCAAAATTGATTTCAAGTCATTTGGAGTACAGACAGAAGGTATACAAAAGGCATTACTAATGACTGGCGATTTTAAATTAGAAAATGTATTCATAGTCTCTCTATAAACCGTATCATTTGATTGCCTGTGATTGGTGTCAAATGGCAGTTCAAATCTTGGGGTACAATATTGTCCAACAAAATTAATATGACTACCGCTGCCAGGGACCACATCTAGGCATTCATCAAAATCACCTAACGATCCATACGTCCCCTCCATGAAGCCACTCGGGAAATGACCCCAAGAGTCAAACACTTATCATTAAAATTAATAAAAATTGAACAGGTAAGATCATGAAAGATATTAAGTATTATAATTACGTTTAATTGCCCACCACTTCATGTTAAGCCCTTCATCGATGGTATAGTGTATTGATTTGAGACAATCGTCTGAAATCCTATCATCGTTTTCAAGTTTTGCCAAAATTGGCTCCAATTTATCACTAATAATATCAATTAAAACCTTTATATTCGTCTCAAATAATGTCTTATTGTTTACATTATCATCAGAATTGCATAATAATACAAATGACAAAATTATAATTATTTTTAACATCCTTTGTACATGTTTGTGAAATAATTATTTATTTGATTTGTTGTATTAAACCAAATCAAAATATGACGGGACTCTAATAGATAGTTTAACACAAATATTTCATAATTGTTGTCAAGATTTTATACATTACTTAAAGGTTTGAAAATTAAAAATTTCACAATTACAATGCACTAAGAATGGAGTTTAAGACAAAAATCTACCGGAAAATTGATAAAATAATGTAAATCAACGTCAGTAAAGTTCTCATTATATTGTCGTAATAAAACAATTTCTTAATCATAAATTATTTTCCAAAATATGTAAATCATTAAATATGTTAAATTTATTTCTCAAAATTTTTCATTTAAATTAGAATATTAACAAAAATTTCTATTTCAATATACAGTATTAAAATTCATTTACTTATAATGTAGTCAGATTCCTAAGTCACTTACAGTTGATAATTAAATTTGTATTTAGTTATCTAAATTTTAAAATCAAATTTACTTTTAATTTAATTCAAACTGAACTTTATTAATTTTATTAAAATTTAAAATTGTGTTTAAATGTAATTTGTAAATAAATTTATAAGAATCGCAATAATTTATTAATTTTATAATTAAAAATTACATTAAAATCAAAATTAATTAATGAACAAACATTTGAATAAATTACTAATATTACTACAAAATAAACAAGTCTAATAATTTATAGCCAAATAACACTGATATAAATAGCATTGCGATCCTGACAAAATCCATGATTGACGTGGGATTATAAAACGTTAAAATGGTAGGCAAATAGAAATCCAATCCAATTATATAACAAACCAGATAACAAATGGCATACAGTAATAATGAGAAAGTGATCAGCCATAGGGTATTCAGTAAATGGTATCGAAGGAAAACCCTTTAAAATGTAAAAATTTCTATTCAATTAATTAATTTTCATTAAATATATTTTTCAAACCTTTTGTAAATCTTCTTAGCTTTTGAAATCTCTTCATCCTTTTCCTTCAGTATAAACCTTTTGCAGCCCAACCACATATTCTCCATGTATGTATTCCACTTAATATCCCTGATATCAAAGTAAAACACCTGTCGATCCCTTTCTGACATTTCCTCAATTAGTGAAAATGTATTATTGATGTCATATTCTGGGGATGTTTTCATGAAAAGTCGGATATCTTTCATTGTTTTGTTCATACTATCTGTGATTTTCACGATATGTGTCTGAATTCCGGTTAGTTTGGCGATAAAGTGAAGCAAATAGGCAAAGATCCAGTGCTTGACATAGACTTCAAACTGTAGTTTCAGTCTATTTTGTAGAAACACGAGCCGAGGGGGTCGGACCACCTTTTTGGACGGATACTTAACAGCGCTTCTCTTAATGGCATTCATTATAAACCTCATTGGAGGGGATAAATTGGTCTTGGTGGTCAAGTGGTATACTTTCATATGTGGTTCACTGTTTCATAATTATTTTAAATTAATATGAGTTATACAAACTATTATATACAGCATTAATAATTATTAATTAAGCTTATATTAATTTAGTAGACTATACTGAATTATAATGTTATTTAGAGTAAATAAATATCAAACCTCTGTTTACAATGCGACCAAATGCTAGCTATAAGGCCATTGGCGACAAAGTCTACGGGTATGACACAGTGTGCGCCCAGTTTTTTGGACGGAAACACTTTCATAAGTCCCAAACCGACGGCCACTGCGGCCGATGTGGTGCCCTGTAGACCCTGAACCCACCCGGGAATGGGCTCCTTATAGGCCGCCAATATGGCCGACGGCCTGACGATCACTGTATTGAGACGACTGCTCTCCTGAAGCAATAGCTGTTCGGCCAATGCTTTTGATATGCAATAAGTGTTATTGAATTCAAAAAAGAAAAATTTCTTCATTCGTCTCAACACTTCGTCCGATAGAGTATCGCATGCTTTGAGTACATACTCCGGAGAGACGGTTAGGTTTTGGTGAACCCTCTCATTGGTATTGTCGGTGCCGTTCAGTATAGCAGTGGTTGACGAGTACACCAAACAGTCGAGTCGTTTGATTTGATAGCATAACTCAATTAAGGCTATCATTGGCTTCACATTGCGCTGAACGGCGTAACGTAAGGGAGGGTTCAGTTTGACGATCGCCGCCAAATGTATTACGATATTCACGTTTTCGATGATAAGCTGCCTGTCCTCAACTCAATTAAGGCTATCATTGGCTTCACATTGCGCTGAACGGCGTAACGTAAGGGAGGGTTCAGTTTGACGATCGCCGCCAAATGTATTACGATATTCACGTTTTCGATGATAAGCTGCCTGTCCTCGAGGCTGATGCCCCAACCCGGGTCCAGAGTGTCGCCAAATATGGGTACAATTTTCTCGCATTTTCCCGATTCTCGCAAACCGTTTACTTCAAAGATTGGGTCAGATGTGTAGTCGTCTGACCGCTGTTTAGCTGTCTTTCCCTTCTTCTCACGCATAAGAATATAGATTCTGTCGATTCCATGGCATTCGTTCAGGTATTTCCAGACCACTGCCTTAATATAACATAAATGTGTTTTCAGTAATTATATTTCAATTATGTTAAAAATAATCACATACTTTACCCAGATAACCAGTGGCTCCGGTAATAAATATAGTTTTACCTGAATAAAAGTTGCAAATATCTGATGACATATTCGCTCAAAATATATCTGATAAATGGGTTAATTCTTGGAACTTAAAAGCTATTATTTATATAATAAAACTTAGAAAATGCAAATATAAACGATTTTGTCATAAAACTAAAAATTATTTAAATCATAAGTTTGACCTTAAAAAAAGTCATGTGTCCTCATTTATCTAGGTGCTCATTTTCCTCATGTTTTACCCTAAATGATAAGCTTATATACAATTTTTTTCGTAAAAATCTTATGATATCATAGTATTATTTGCGTAAAAATTCATTGTCGTTAATCGGGTACTTTCCCAGTCATCCAGAGTTACGTCAAAATTACATAGTTGCAATTTAATATATTCATCATAATTAGGTAGATTTCCGATAAGTGTAATGAATGTATTTAACTAAAAAATAACAAACTTTTAAATTGCAAGTTAAATAATTTTTTGACGAGTACATTGCACATTGCGCAAAAATTTTGGATAATTTTTAACTTTAAAAATAAAAATAGATAATTATCTTAATAAACTATTTATTTTATCATGACAATGATTTATTGTATACATATTTTATTTTTAAAATGTTCTACACAGCTCAATTTTTATGTTTAAATTAAAATCATAAGTTATTAAAATGTTGTAATTTTATCAAATAATTATAGTTTACATAAATTTATCCTGAACACTTGTTTTAGGTTTGATGTTCAAGAAAGTGTTGGTTTATAAGCGAAAATGTGGTAATTATTATGTTGAATAGACACCACATTATGTAGACATCTATGAGACTCTCAATTACCAGTATAGGAGGTGTGGCTATTATTTCGGACAACTTTTCGCTTAGCATTCAATCATTTAGAGCTACAGTTCCTCATTTGAGTCCAAACTTAGTGTGAAAAATGATGGCAAGTTTTATGCTCTCGCACAGGCTTTTTGGGTAAAAGTTGTTTAAATTTTAATAGTTTCAATTAAAACAATTGAATGAAAATATAATTTTATAAACATTAAGGACTCGATCAAAATAAAGTAATTATTTAAATAACCAGAACTGGAATAAGAAATTCATTTATGATTGTAAACTAGAGATCGAAACCGATCTGATTTCGTATCTAATGTGAACTGATTTGAGGTCTAAAAAAGCTGATCTGATCTGACCTTTAAATTAGTTGCTTTCTGACCCGTATCTGATCTGATCTCAAAAATATGATCAGTTTTGGACCCCTATTGTAAACATGAAGCTGTTGTTGGAAATGGTTTCGATTAAAACTAGAAATTCAACCGTTGACTACACTTACCACCGAGGAGATAATCAACATGTCTAACAATATCAACAAAGAATAATATGTGTTAATTAACTGTTTATTAATTATAATTTTATTTATATAATATTTATAAACATAGATTAAAAATAAGTATTTAATTTTGTAGTCATGTTACTTTTAAAAAGTATTTATATTTATTTTAATGAAAAGGATTTAATCGAAAACAAAAATTAAAATCTACATAAGATTTATAAACAATATAAAATTAACAGGGTTAACATAATTTTGTGTTTTCATTGTATAATATTCAATGAAAAATTAATTATTTGTATCATTAATAATAGGTTTTCTATTTTTTTTGTCTCGTTGACCAGCAATCTTAGCCAAAACCATTATTAAATTACCACTAGGTGCACTTATTAGCAAATAAAAGGGAATTGATAGCAAAAATGATATTAAATACTCGAAGAATACAATTGATGTCTATTGTGAAAAAAAGTTCATTAAAAGTTATTCATTTTAATTTCTATCAAATGATTACTTACGATATAATATAAAGTGTAGTGTTCATTGGCACGGGACACACCTATCCGATAGAATATGACCATAGTATGCAACTGTTGAATATAAATGTAGATTTACAATTAATTATGAATAATTATACTTGAATATTAGCTGACTTACAATACAGATTTCAAATGATAACCTAGATGTTGGTATGAATCCCTTCCACCCAAGAACTTTATTTATAAAACCTTGACAAGAATACAATTAACAATTTGCATGAAATATGTTTGTATGAAATACCTCCCCTTCCTGTGGAGCAGGCATAGAAAAGCCAGACCCAACCCAATAGATACAGGGGTTTAGAAAAGGCCATCATAAGTAACGTTTCAGTTGTGGTCAACGGGTAGTAAACATCTTGGAAATGGTTGAACCAATATATTGTACGCTTTCATGAACACCATGTTCACTAGGTATTTTATCAGAGAGGCTGAGCTGGGGGCTTTATTTCCAATCCGAATATCGCCTAGTGTATTGGCCATTCGTATGGCTAACGTATTGATTGGTTTACGGAGTCAGGCCTCCAATAGTATAACATAACACCTTGCTGTGTGGTAAATACATCATCACCTACCGGGAACTCTAAGAAATGTTTGATTCCAAATAATATCCTAGGTGCTACACCTATGAATATTCCCAGTAATATAACTATTATATTCCAAACGACTCCAATCCTTGGGTAGTGATATAATACTAGAAATATAAGGGGTGCCAACATAAACAGTTGATAGTCCGATGATATATACCTAATAATCGAATTAAATCTATAAGTATCTAGGTATCTATATCTATATACTAAGTATATAGTCTATATCCTTAGTATCAATAAGTAATTGAATCTTGTCTTTTATTTACAACTCATACCAATTTGCTGTATTGCACTAAAATTTGAAATTATAAGTATAATCATATTAGAAATTGTCATTATTAAACATATTTGTACTAAAATCTTACTGGATATCTGTCGGGCAGTGAAATGTCAAAATTGCTGGTCATTAGTAGAGACGCCATCCAATTCTGTCGACACGGAATGAATACCCCGTTTGAAACCATATTCCAGTTTGGGCCTGGTATTGCAATTAGTGTTACAAATATAAATGTGATATTTATTTTGAAATACCATTTCCAAATAGTGGGAATAGAAAAACTAACAAAATCGCTCCCATGGTTGGGGGGACTATACGTAGATACCTAATGAGATTAACAACATAAGTGCGCTTGATATTTAACATAATATTATTGTAGATTATTTAAGACTGATTTGTACATATGAAAAAAATATTCAATTACCTATAAACACAATAAGCAATGTAATTAAATTGTCCTTTCATTTTCTCCAATTTAGACATCACTACATAACACGTGAACATTCCTATCATTAAGTGATGTAAAATGTATGTAAAGACCATTCATTCATATTATTGATTATATTTTGTAGTAGTAATACCTCCGATACAAAAGAATGTGTCGATTATATTAAGATTTTTAAATAAGAAAAAATAGTAATTATTATGCAATTGTCTCATCATTGATTTCTGAGTTTGTTTCGAGTTAATCATCATGTAATCGAGAATAGCAAGGTGGTTATACAGCACCCAAAATGATAGTATTGTCCGGATGCCATCAAATATAACAAACTTTTCATTACCACGATTTGGATCGAAAATAGTTTTAAAGTTTTTGATTACAGAAAATGATTCGTAAAAATCAATGAGTGCTGATTTGATGTCTGTTTTTGTGCCAAATAGTAAATTATATGATTCATATAAAGTTGACAACAACACCAACACTGATAATACAGCGAATATCCATCTGATCATATAAAATAAAGTAAATTGTAATTATAACTTATAAATTGATGTTATCTACTTTATAATATTGAATATCAACTATAATGGACTCACATTGAAGTCAATTGATAGCCATTGAATTTAATGGGTTTATCCTGATAGTCGCAGTCAGGACTTATAATAACGGGAAATTGTGTTATTGGATAAAATGCTGTTAATTATTATAAATAAAATATAAATATTATGTCATCAAGATGCTAATAATAAAATAATAAATTATGAAATAACATACCCTTGTTTATAGGGTTGAGATATAGGACCCGGAATGTCCACGACCCTTATGTATTTGGGTAACCGTATACTCACCATTTACAGAACCGTTTGTTTAATTACCTTTGGTTCAGAAATTATATAACAGCACATTATACACGACTGGAGAACCTGGGTGTTACATTCTGGGCATTTTTCATTGAATTCACCATATTAATGTCCGATTGGTTATTCAATGCGTTTATATCGACAACTTGAGACAACTCGTCATATGCCCGGTCCGTGATTATAATGTCGGGGACACCCATCCAACAGTACTGTCCCTGAAATTGGGCTAAATCTGGTTCATCGGGACTTTTAAATTGCAAACATTGGTCGTATCCAATAGAAGGCTTTTTAAATGATAGTACTCCCGATACTGGCTCTACCAGAGTCTCTGTAACTTTATTTAGTCATCAAATTAGTTTAGCTATCATATACACATGATTTGTTAACAAATAATAGTTTATAAGTTAAAATAGATTATTTTATATTATTCTTATCTAAAAATATTTTTTTAATTTATTATTTATTTTATAATTTAATTATTTACATAATATAAGAATTTAGAAGTAATATTAAATTCCTTAACTTTTTTATATAGTGTATAAGATTAATAAAACTTTCTATTGCAAATAGTCTGATTTGTAAATATTTATTTGCTTTGTTGCATATTTAGTTGCATTTATTTATTGACTATATCAATGAAGTTTGTAAATTAAT